TGCAGAGCTTCCTGGGAGCCGTTGGGTATCTACGACCCTTCATCCCACGATTCGCCGAGTACACTGCCCCACTGTTCGAGTTGCTCAAGAAGGGCGGGTTGTTCGTCTGGTCGGATGCTCGAGGAGAGGCATTCACGAAGCTGAAGCAGGCGGTAGCCGGTGCGTCGCTGCTCCACAAGCCAGTTCCAGGAGCGCCGATCATCATCGAAACAGATGCCTCCGAGGTTGGCATTGGCGCGGTGTTGAAGCAGGTGCAGGAGGGTAGAGAGGTCCCGTTAGAGTTCGCGTCTAAGAAGTTCACCGACGCGGGGGGAAAGTGGGATACGAGAGAGAGAGAGCTCTTCGCCGTCAAGTGGGCTGTAGAGAAGTGGTGCGACTGCGTAGAGAAGTGGTGCGACTACCTAGCGCTCCATCATTTCACCGTACGCACAGATCATGCCAACCTACGCTACCTTGTGGGAGTAGACAAAGGGAAGGTGTTCCGCTGGGCGCTGGCGCTCTGCAGGTTCGACTTCACCTTAGAGTCCCTGTCGGGAGAGAAGAATAACATGGCGGACTGGTTGTCGCGGTACGCAGCGGAGGATGAAGAGTGCTACGCAGAGATCGAGGCAATGGCAGCTGGAGCCGCAAGGAGTGCCTGGAGTGAAGAAGGATGGCAAGTGGTGGCGGCAGGCCATGACTGGCAAGGTGCACGTCCCGGAGCGACTGAGAGCGAAGGTGGTACTGAACTTTCACTATGGCACCAGTGGGCACGCGGGAGTACTCAAGAAGCCAGCATGTTCTACTGGCCCGGACGTTGCGAAAGTGGTAAGAGATTGCCTGATATGTGCCCGGACTCGAACGAGAGCTCGGCTGACGCACAACGTGCCGAAGGGGGGTCTGGAGAATCCGAGCGCGATGGACACTGTAAGCCTGGACCACGTGGGACCATCTGACAACGGCAACGTATAGGCCGCAAGGGAATGACATCAACGAAGCCTCCCACAAGGCGCTCAGATACGGGTTCAAAGCACTGTGGCAAGAAGGACACCGGGACCTGGGTAGGAAGGTGGCGGCGGTTTGTCGCACGCATAATACGACACCGCACATCAGCACAGGTGTGACACCGTATGAGGCCTTATTCGGAAGACCACCGTACTTCGCGCGGTTGCAAGAGGTAACCGGCACAATGACAGAGGAGCAGAGGAAACAGAGCCTGGCGGCACAGATGCGCGAGGGATTGCAAAGGGCCATGCTCGCAGGTGGGCCGCTCGAGGAGTCGGGCGCGGATGACCTACGGGTAGGAGAAATAGTGGTAGTCTCGATGGAGCCAGGGTCACAGCCAGACGCCAGTGGAGGACCGAAGACACCAGCTTGGGCGCACACCGCGTGGTCGCTACCAATGAGGATAATAGAGTTGAGGAAAACGCGGGTAGTGGCAGAAAGATGCGACGTGCCGGGGGGGACGGTCACGGCTCAAAAAGGCCAAGTGAGAAGGTTCAAGCTGAGCACGGATCCACCACTACTGCGGTGGGCAACCCAAGAGTACGGCTCAGGGCAGCGCGAGCTGGAGGAGCAGGCCGAGAACATGCGGGANACGACCGACGTTGGCATGAAGACAGAAGCTAACTGGGATGAGTTCTTAGGAATGATTC